CCAGAAAAAAAATTTGCGAAAACAAGGTCTCCTACCTTGAAAACACGGTGCTTGCTGCTGGAACCCAGGGGCTTTTCCGGGGTGTAGGCAGGGTGCAAACGATCTAGAGGCGATCTGAGTTTCCTGGCCATCAGGAGTTCAGCTGGGCTCTTGTTGGTCATGCTGTTTGGTGTGATGTGTTGCAGGAGCAGCATTCTAGTGACTTTGTCATGGATGTTGCCTTGATCCATTTTCTGCAGGGTTTTCTTTGTAAACTGAATCATTTGTTCAGCCCGGCCATTTGCCGCAGGATGAGCTGGCGATGTGAGTGCGTGTCGGATGCCCCGTTCCGCTAAATACTGTTCAAAGGCTAAGGCAGTAAATTGAGGTCCATTGTCAGAGACCAGGACATCTGGTAACCCATGTGTGGCGAAGAGTCTGTTTAGTTTTTTAATGACCGCCTCAGTAGTGGTTGCTTTCATTTTATTGACCTCAAGCCAGTTTGAGTAGGCATCAACAGTTATTAAGAAGGTGTGGCCTCTCGTAGGTCCCGTAAAGTCAATATGAATACGAGACCAAGGACCCCTGGGTGTTTCCCATTCTGTTGGTGGGGCTTTAGGTGGCGCTGAGTGGTTCTCCTGGCATTTGTTACAAGAGGCGACCCAGGTTTCGATTTGTTTATCTATACCAGGCCACCAGGCATAAGTTCTTGCCAGCGCTTTCATACGCACGATGCCCGGGTGTCCATCATGTAGCATTTGCAAGACCCTTTTTTGTAACTTAGTTGGTACAACAACTCGGTCTCCCCACAAAACGCACCCTTTTTGTGAAAAAAGTTCCGTTTGTCTGTTTTTAAATGGCTTAAACAGTTCCTTAGTGTCATAATCTGGCCATCCCCTCTCCACCCAGCCAAGAACTCGTGCCAAACAAGAGTCTCTTTTGGTTTCAAAGGCGATGTCTTGAGCCGTTAGTGGAGGTGATGGCATTGTCTCTATTTGCAGTACCAGGAGTGTGGGAGCTGGGTCTTCCTGTGGCTCGGGTAGCGGTGAGCGGCTCAAGGCATCTGCGTGGGGAATAGATTTCCCGGGGTGGTATTTTAATTGATAGTCGTAGGCGGCGAGAAATTCTGACCATTGCATCATTCTGGGGGAGAGAATGTGTGGAGTAGGTTTGTCGCCCGCCAGGATCCCAAGTAGTGGCTTATGGTCCGTTATAATAGAAAACGGTCTCCCATAAACATATTCATGAAATCGTTTTATTGCAGAGACAATAGCAAGGGCTTCCTTATCTAATTGGCTATAGTTTCTTTCTGTTTTTGATAGAGTTCGTGAAAAAAATGCAATTGGTGCTTCTGAGCCGTTTGGTAGGACGTGGCTCAGGATGGCCCCTACCCCAAATGGTGAGGCATCACACGTGACAATCAAAGGTAGTGTCTCGTTATACTGGATTAGTACTGCCTTTGAGGTAAGGAGGTCTTTTACTTGCTGGAAGGCGTGTTCCTCCCGACATCCCCAATTCCAGGATGCCCTTTTATCGAGTAGTCTATGGAGGGGCTCAGCAACAGTCGCCTTCTGGGGTAGGAAGATGTTATAAAAGTTAATAAGTCCCAGGAAGGCTTGGAGGTCGGTTTTGTTTTTGGGTCTTGGGGCATTTTTGATAGCTGCCAAATTTTTTTCTGTGGGGTGGATTCCTTGCTTGTCAAGAAGGTAGCCAAGAAACTCCACCCTTTCTGTGCAAAGCTGGCACTTTTCCTTCTTAACCTTGAGGCCAGCGTTTTTGAACCTCTGTAGGACTGTTCTGAGACGTTTTTCTAATTGTTTTCTTGTGGGTGCTGCTATTAATACGTCATCAAAATAGGGCACGACCCCTTTTATCTCTTGTAATAGTCTCTCCATCAGGCTTTGAAAGATGCCTGGGGCTACGCTTACACCAAACTGGAGCCTGTTGCATTTGAATGCACCACGATGTGTGACTATAGTTTGGGCTTCTGCAGTCTCGGGATCAACTGGTAGCTGTTGATACGCTTGGGCTAGATCTAATTTTGTGAATATTTTGCCACCCCCAAGTGAATGCAGGAGATGTTGAACAACTGGCACTGGGTAGGCGCTCTGCTGTAGTGCGTGATTGAGGGTGGCCTTGTAGTCACCGCAGATTCTTATGGACCCGTCAGGTTTTATGGGGGTGACAATTGGTGTCTCCCATCGGGCGTGGTCAATAGGTTCTAACACGCCCTGTGCAATTAATTTGTCCAGTTGCTCGTCAATTTTGGATTTAAGAGCAAAGGGAACTTGGCGTGGCTTTAGACGAATGGGTGCTTATGTTGGGGCGGAGATTAAATGAAATAGGGTACCCCTTGTACTTGCCTAGGCTTTCGTTGAACACTTCTTGGAAGTCGTGGATGAGAGCCGCCTCCCAGTCATTTTCTTCAGTATGATGGATGCCAGCCATTCCAATTCCTAATGGCGCGAACCACTGAAGACCCAATAGACTTGGTCGGTCTCGGTCTACGACGGTGAGTGGTAGAATTGCCCTATGTCCCTTGAACGAGACCTGCACATGGCGGGTACCTGCGACTGGAATCCGGTTGCCTTGATAGTCTTTTAGTATGAGTCTCTGACTGCTGAGGTCTTGGTGTCGGATGTTGGAGATTAGCTGCTTGAGTGTTCTCCAGGATACCATGGATAGAGATGACCCAGAGTCGACTTCCATGTTGCATGGTTTGTTTTCAATCGTGACCTCTACTCGGATCTTTTTAGCGTCAAGTGATGAAGCGTGGCCAATAATGATGGTTTGATGAGCCTCCTCTCGTCTGGGGGCGTCGTTAAACCTTCGGGGTCTGCTGTACCAGTTCCACTGGTTGCTAGGGTGGTCCCTCTGTGTGGTGGCATTGCCATCGTTTCTCTTTGGGCTGCTCCCTCTCCGTCTGGGGCTGGAATTTCTCTTGTTTCTGCATACCTTCGTGATGTGTCCCCGTTTCTCGCAAAAACGGCATATGGCATCTAAGAATCTACATTCGGATCGGGGGTGGTTTCCCCCACATCCGGCGCATTGGTAGTTGGACTTGCGACCCCGCTGGTCCCGTTGCTCACGTTCTGACCGGAGCCTGTGGACTTCTTCTTCCTTGCTGTCTGAGGATGACTCGATGTCTTTGTGATGGGTGGTTGAGGTGTACTTGTCTGAAGGTTTCCCAGCATCATTGGTGGGTTGGCCATTGGTCCCGCTGGTTCGATGCATTCATGCTGCCAATTTACGAGTGGCTTCGGCTGCTGTGGCGTCTGCTATGGCATCTGCAAGCGAGATGTCCCCCTTGGCCATGATCTTGCTCTGGACGGTGGGGTCTCTGAGGCCAAGGACAATGCGATCTCTCATGGCTTCTTCGAGGTTGGCGAAGCCACACAAACCACCCAGGTTCCTCAGGTCTGCCACAAAATCCCCAACGCTCTCACCTTCATGTTGGTCCCTCTGGTAGAACTCATGCCTGCGAATGAGAGTTGGCATGGCTGGGGCGTAATGGTTGTGCAAGATGGGAGCAAGGGTGTCCCAATCCATGGTTTTAACTTCAGCTGGCTTGGCTAAGGCTTTAGCCATCTTAAAAACGGCTGGTCCACAATGGGTTAGAAAAACAGCTCGTTTCTTGCTGGGCATGGCATCTTTGAGGTTGTTGGACTCCAGGAACATTTGAAATCTGTCCATGTATGAGTCCCAATCTTCGCTAGCTGGATCGAATGGTGCAGGTGGTATAGCGCTGCTGGCCATGTCGCTGTTGTTGCGCTCTGTCAGCCACGTGCTCCTTCGGCTAGCTCAATTTCAATAGCTTTCATTGCCTCCGCATCCCATCCTTGTCGACAGTGTTATATCTGGGAGGACAGTTCAAGAACGGAGGCAAGACTCAGATAGTAACTAAAGCTCTTTATTTGTGACTTCAGATCTGAGCAACTAACCCCAGCCGCAGCAGCCCCTTATATAGGGCTGGCTGCGGCTAGGCAGCCAATGAAGGCGATTTGAGTTTGCCGCTCTTGGCAGGGCCAATCGCGGCAGCCCGTTTACTGGCCAATCGCATCAGTCTATGGCGACCAATCATGATCGGCTTTCAGCGGGCCAATCAGATTTGCAGGCTATGAGCCTGCTAGTCTGGAACATGAAGAATATTAAAGGTCAGCCAATGAATAGGCATAGCAACTAAATCAGCCAATGAGGACAATTTGGAAACTGAAACTAGAAGTAGCCTAGGCTGAAAACTGAAACTAGAAGTAGCTTAGGTGTGGCTTTATATTAAGCTCTGCAGCTATGTTGAGTCTGTCTATTGAAAATGATACTGCTTCTCTCCTTTGCTGTGTATAATGCTTGCCTGCTGAACTAAAGTGAAACTGATGTCTGTTTCTGAGCTGCTAAGTTGCTGCTGAAGCTCTGAACATGTCTTCTTCTGTCTGAGTTTCCTCCAACTGGTTTCAAAAATCTACTTATTATGTTTAGAAAGATGTTAAATGAAGCATCAGTCATCTGTGTTTATTTTTCTGGTGCTGAATTAATGCTGCAAACACTCTGAATAACTAGGTTTTATGATTTTCTCTTTTTTATCCTTCTTTTGGAAGATTGTGCAGTTGACTTCTAACATATACACAAAGAATTATCAAACAGAAAAATTACAACAATTGTACTTTTACCTTATGCCTTGTAAGGCACAGATGTTCCCAGTTTATTGAATGGTTTTAAACCTGAAGTGTGTATAGTCATTTGGGAACCACAAAAATAGGATGAGGGGAGCTAACATACATTCTGAGCATTACTGAAAGTCACCATTGAATATTCTCCATGAATTAGTGTCATCCCATCCCTATGGCAATTGCTTTAGAAATTTGTGTATGTATAACCATAAGTTTTATGTATAGTCTTGCACAAGATACTTATAAGCTAAGGAGAGTAGGACAAGAAAATCCCGTTGATGATGTTACCTAGTTTGGAAAGCTCAGAAACTAAATTGAAACAAGCTTGGAGAGCAAACCACTGCCAAAAATACTTGCTTGGTTTCCAAAGTCTCCAGGGAATCCTTCTATACCCTATAATGAAAACATACAATATACTACAATTACTTTCTAGAAGTAACACAAAATTCATTTACTTAAGGAAACAGCTTATTTAGCAAAATTGAAAAAATGAGCATTTTAGAGAAATAATTACTAACTAGAGCCAAACTAATCAGGAGCTAAAATTGTAAGAGGCTAAATAAATGGGCTGTTATGTATTTGGTTTATTAGTCCCTTCTTCCACACAATATAAATTGATGTCTTTGCCATTGTCATTAAAATGATAATTCCAGCTTCAGCATTTCTGTATGGCTATTGCTCAACTTATGTGTCTGCTTGTTTTAACTGGGTAACTGGGATGACCATCACACCTTGAGTGTCACCTAGCATATACTCCTGATATTCTTCATCACTCCCAAGACCTCTCCCTCCTATGACCTGATGTCATACAATCAATGAATGTGGATTTAGGTACTTATCCATCTCAGGGAAGGATAATTTAAGTATGTAAATTTTTTTCTATTTTATGTATTTGTACATAATACATTTTTTGTGTAAATTTGAATTGTATTATATTCTCAAAAAAACACAAGCCCAAATTTATGGTTATTTTGACATGATTACCTTTCTTCCTTTCCTTCCTATATTGCCAAAACCAACAATTCCTTCTTCTCCCTAGAACAGATAAACACTTTATATTTTCTTCAACTCATTGCATTTGTAATGTTTAATGTGTAGTGTTCAGAATTATGCTATTGCTTGTAGTACATATTACAACAGCTTTTCTTCCAAAAAAGAAGCCAAAGTACTGAGAACAAATTACCGTATCTCTTTCTACACTGTGGGTACATGCAGCTTCCATTTCTGCAGGATCAGCAAAGATTGTAATTTAAGTAAATGAAAGAAATAGGGTTGCTGCTGCAAAAATTACTTCAAAGTAATCTATGAGCAGTGCATTATATGTTCAAGTGAACATGACATGAAAATAATCAAGAGCACATCCTGACATTTTTCAAATATTAGCTTCGATTCAGACCTCAACAATACCAAGCATTCAGATTAAATAGCAGTAAGCTTTTATTTATGTATTAAATTTGCAAACCATCCACCAAATTTCTGAGAGACTTACAATACACACAGAGAAAAAAAGAACAATGAAAAGAAATACGTGCATCCAGAAGAGTGAAATACATATGTCAAACCACCAAAATCTAATAAAAGCTTAGCATTCCATACTAACCTCTGACCTCTGAGTAAACTTGTGTTTTTCATGACTTTTAAAACAGCTGTTGGATTAAAGTTATATGAATATTTGGAGACTGTGCTGTCCTAGAGGGCAGCCACTGCAACAGAGATGCATCACCTAGGTCCCAAGAGATTATTCGATTGAGATGACTCTGTCATTCTTCTTGATCTCACTGGGCACAGAGAAACGATTGGAGATAAATGGCCCCTGGATTTAGTTAGGACATATAGGGCTTTAAAGGAGATAACCAGTACCTGACAGTTGCACTCAAAAGTCAAATGACAACTCGTACAAATTACAAAGCAGGGAATAAGCATAATGTGATGCATCCACCACTGTCCATGCCATCTTGTTCTGGAGTACCTGTACCTTTTGAATAGATTTCAATGGTAGCCACATGTAAAACAGATTGCAGTAATCCATTTGAGAGGTGAAAAGGATGACTGGTTGCCTGAAAGGCCTTTTGGAGTACAAAAGTGAACAACTGGAATACTAAAATTAAAGTTATGTTTATTTTTCTTTCAACTGTAACTCTATTTTTATTCCAGTGGAAGGGGATTCAAACTAATTTGTCATCTACAATGAATTTTCAGAATTTGAAAGCCCATATAAATAAAGGAAATCCTTCTTCCTGTTTCCAAGGTTTTAGTCCAGATAAGCAACCCAATGTTTTGCCCTGAAGCTTATTGGCTCCATTCATCATAGAGTCTGATTTCATATCTTTGGCCTTTTATGAATATTTTTATGTATGGTCGGTGGGTCTCATGAATAGACGAGGTTTGAGTAGTGAACAACAGCTCTTTATTTAATAGATAGATTCTGAGACAAAAACCCTAGTGCGCGGCAGCTCTTCTTATAGAGCTGGCCATGGCTAGGCAGCCAATGACAACTCTTTGCCACGCTTAGTTTCAGCCAATTGCGGCAAACCCTGTATGAGCCAATCAGGAACGTTCAAGCCATCCAATCACAACCTGGCTTTTCTGGACCAATAGGAACGCAGGGTTTCAAGCCTGCTAATATGGAACACCCCTCCCCTCTTGGTTCCATCCAAGGGGCAGGGTAACGTAGTCATGTAAGTAGGCGGGTCTTCGGACCTGCCTACTTGACTTGCGTGGTTCATAATGTCTCTGGTCGTCGTCAGGTTCGGACGGGCTCTGCGTCGCTCTCAAGCTTCTCGATGGAACTGCCTGGAAGGGTGAGCCAGGCCTATAGCTGCAACTCCCGCCTGCTGTATCCGGGTTGGTTGAGTCGTTCGCTCTGTCGCTCCCGCCTGGATTCTCTGGGCTGGTTGAGCTTGTCCGGCTGCTACTTCCAGGTGAAGCACCCGTCTGCCTCGGTTCCCTGTTTGTAGGTAAGTATTGCTGGTTTAATGTTTGATTTTTATTTAATGTGTGTGTGGGGTGTTCTGCTTGCGCAGATACTGGTTCTTTTTCTAAGTTTGAGGTCCCCCCCCCGATTTCCTGGTTAGAGTCTGTGAGGGGAAAAGTGGCCAGCCTAGACTGTAGCTGGTCAATGTGCCTTTTCCAGCTCTTCCCGTTGGTGGTCTCGAGTCGGTAGGACCGGGGACCGGTGACTTGGGTGATCTTTGCAGGTAGCCATAGGGGGTCCCCAGTAAAGTTTTTAGCAAAAACAGTGTCTCCCACGTTGAAGGCTCGGTGTTTGCTAGTAGATCCAGGGAGTTTCTCTGGAGTGTAAGTAGGGTGCAGACGGTCTAGAGGTGACCGGAGCCTTCTGCCCATGAGTAATTCCACTGGGCATTTGTTCGTGGTGGTGTTGGGTGTGATATGTTGTAGTAGAAGCATTTTGTTGATATTCTCATGGATGTTGCCGTGTTCAATCGTTTGGTTTTTTTTTTTTTTTGTGAACTGAACCATGCGTTCAGCTCGCCCGTTCACCGCTGGGTGAGCAGGCGATGTCAATGCGTGTCGGATGCCACGGTCTGCCAAGTATTGCTCAAACGCCAATGTGGTAAATTGAGGTCCATTGTCAGATACTAACACATCTGGCAGACCATGCGTGGCGAAAAGTTTGTTTGATTTTTTGATAACAGCTTCTGTGGTGGTTGTTTTCATTTTGCTTACCTCGAGCCAATTTGAGTAAGCATCAACAGTCATTAAAAAGGTATGTCCTTTGGTTGGCCCTGCGAAGTCAATATGGATTCGTGACCAGGGGCCTCTGGGGGTTTCCCATTCTAGTGGTGGAGCTGCAGGGGGAGTCGAGTGAGTCTCTTGACATCTGCTGCAAGCGGCGACCCAAGTTTCTATTTGTTTGTCCATGCCTGGCCACCAAGATTAGCTTCTGGCCAGGGCTTTCATTCGCACAATGCCCGGGTGGCCGTCATGCAGCATGTCTAGAACTTTTTTTTGTAATGTTTCTGGTATAACCACCCGGTCTCCCCAAAGAATGCACCCCCATTGTGAAAAAAGTTCAGTTTGCCGGTTTTTAAATGGTTTAAAGAGTTCATTTTTTTTGCTTTCTGGCCAACCCCTCTCCACCTAGCTGAGGACTCGCGCCAAGCGTTTGTCTCTTCTTGTTTCGTGGGCAATGTCTTGCATGGTCAATGGCAGCGTGGTTACTGTTTCTATTTGTAAAATTGATAATGTGGGTACTGGGTTGTCTTGCACGTCTGGTAGGGGGGATCGACTTAAAGCATCAGCATGCGAGATGGTCTTGCCGTGTCGGTGTGCTAAATGGTAATTATAAGCAGCAAGAAATTCAGACCATCTCATCATCCTAGGGGACAGGATGGTTGGAGTGGGTTTGTTCCCAGCCAAAATGCCTAGTAGGGGTTTGTGGTCCGTAATAATTGAAAAAGTCCTACCATAAATGTATTCATGGAATCTTTTCACTTCGGAGACGATGGCCAGGGCTTCTTTGTCCAGCTGGCTGTAGTTCCTCTCCAGCTTGGACAGGGTTCTTGAGAAGAATGTGATGGGAGCCTCTTTCCCATTCGGCAAGGTGTGGCTTAGGATTGCCCCAACACCAAAGGGTGATGTGTCACATGTGACAGTGAGTGGCAGGGTTTCGTTATACTGAATAAGGACTGCGTCTGAAGTTAAAAGGTTTTTTATTTGTTGGAAGGCGTGTTCCTCTTGCCTTCCCCAGGTCCAGGATGCCGCTTTATCCAGGAGCCTATGCAAAGGTTCCGCGACAGTCGCCTTCTGGGGTAGGAAAACATTATAGAAATTAATGAGTCCAAGGAATGCTTGGAGTTCTGTTTTATTTTTCGGTCTGGGGGCTTCCTTGATGGCTTTTAGTTTTTTGTCAGTAGGGTGAATTCCATGTCTGTCTAGGAGGTACCCCAGGAATTCAACCCTTTCAGTACATAGTTGGCACTTCTCTTTTTTTACTTTGAGACCGGAGTCTTTAAATTTTTGTAAGACTGCTCTTAGCTGTTTCTCCAATTGTTTCTTATTGGGGGCTGCTACTAGCACATCGTCGGAATAGGGTATGGACTCCTTTAATTCCCTGCAGCAGTCTTTCCAATAGGCTTTGGAAAATGCCAGGTGTGACGCTGACTCCAAATTGGAGTCGGTTGCATTTAAATGCCCCTCGATGTGTCACGATCGTTTGTGCCTTGGCGGTTTCAGCATCGACTGGCAGTTGTTGATAGGCTTGTGCCAGGTCGAGCTTTGCAAAGATTCTGCCACCCCCCAGTGAGTGTAGGAGATGCTGGACTACTGGCACAGGGTAGGCACTCTGCTGCAGGGCATGGTTCAGGGCCTTGTAGTCTCCACAGATTCTCAAGGAGCCATCTGGTTTGATGGGGGTGACAATGGGTGTTTCCCAATGGGCATGGTCGATAGGTTCTAAAACCCCTTGCGCAATGAGCTTATTTAATTGCTCGTCTATCTTAGGTTTGAGTGCAAATGGCACTTGGCACGGCTTGAGGTGGATGGGAGCAATGTCTGGACTAAGATTGAAGGAGATTGGGGACCCCTTGTACTTGCCTAAAGTGTCATCGAAGACCTCTTGGAAGTCTTGTATGAGCATCGCCTCCCAATCTTCTTCGTCTGTGTGATTGATGCCTGCCATCTCGATCCCTAGCGGTGTGAACCATTGTAATCCAAGTAGGCTGGGGCGGTCTTTATCTACAATTGTAAGTGGTAAAATATTGGTGCGGTTTTTGTAGGTGATCTTGAAATGCTCGATGCCAGCCACTGGGATGCGGTTCCCTTGGTAGTCCCTCAGGATCAATTTCTGGTCACTTAGTTCTTGGCGGTGTATGCTGGGTATTAGACGCTTTATGGTGTGCCAGGAGACCATGGAGAAGTAGGAGCCAGAATCTACCTCCATGGTGCATGGTTGGTTTTGATACCGACCTTGATGCGTATCTTCCGTGCATCTATTGGTGAAGAATGGGCAATTATGACTGTTTGGTGTGTTTCTTCTCTTTGCGGTGCCTCATTGAATCTTCTGTTTCGGCTGTCCCTGCTCCACCAGCTGTCAGTCTGGTGGTCCTGGTTTTTGGTGGGGTAGCCATCTTGTCTTCTCCGGCTGTTGCCTCGACGCCGGGTGCTGAAGTTTCTTTTATTATGGCATACTTTAGCGATATGCCCCCGCTTCTCGCAATGTCAGCAAACAGTGTCCAGGAACTTGCACTCAGAACGTGGGTGATTTCCTCCGCAGCCGGCACACTGGTACCCCAACTTACGACCTCGCCAGCCTCGCCGATCGCATTCCGACTGAAGTTGGTGAATCTCTTCTTCGCTGTCAGAAGGGGATTCGGCGTCACCATGATGGGTGGTGGCTGTGAGTTTTTCTGGTGTGGTAGTTGCCTCGCTGGTCAATTGACAATCAGTTCAGTTTGAATGCCACATTCGGGCCGCTGACTTGCAGGTAGCTTCAGCTGCAGTTGCTTCGGCTATGGCGTCGGCAAGGGAGATGTCACCCTTGGCCATTAGTCTGCCTTGGAGTGCTGGGTCTTTCAGGCTGAGAATGACCCGGTCTCGCATGGCCTCATCCAGGTTAGTGAATCCACACAAACCTCCAAGGTCCCTCAGGTCGGCCACAAATTCACCGATGCTCTCACCCTCATGCTGGTCTCGTTGATAAAAATCATGCCTTCGGATAAGAGTTGGTACGGCCGGAGCATAGTGGTTTCGGAGGATGGGAGCTAGGTTGTCCCAATCCATCGTTTTGACATCTGCGGGCTTTGCTAGCGCCTTGGCCATTTTGAAAACGGCGGGTCCACAGTGCATTAAAAATACCACCTGTTTCTTGCTGCTGGTGGCGTCTTTCAAGTTGTTGGCTTCCAAAAACATTTGGAAACGATCAATGTAGGACTCCCAGTCCTTGCTGGCTGGGTTAAATGGTGCAGGCGGCATGGCGCTGCTGGCCATTTCGCTGGTCGTCTCTGCGCTGTTTGCCACATCTGGTTAGCCTTGTTGTCTCAGAATCCCATCCTCGTCGCCAGTGTTATGTATGGTCGGTGGGTCCCATGAATAGATGAGGCTTGAGTAGTGAATAACAGCTCTTTATTTAATAGATAGATTCTGAGACAAAAACCCTAGCGTGCGGCAGCTCTTCTTATAGAGCTGGCCGTGGCTAGGCAGCCAATGACAACTCTTTGCCGCGCTTGGTTTCAGCCAATCGCGGCAAACCCTGTATGAGCCAATCAGGAACGTTCAAGCCATCCAATCACAACCCGGCTTTTCTGGATCAATAGGAACGCAGGGTTTCAAGCCTGCTAATATGGAACAAACATGGTGTCAATTAAAGTTGAAATCAGTCAAATTTTAAAAGAGGTTAAAAACTGATACACAGGTTTTTCAAACATCTAAACTTCAAAAATCTAAACTTTTTTAGATTTGAAAATTATTGAGTTCAACTAGTACAGTATTTGCATGGAAAAATGTCCCTACAGCTGAATGCCTCTGTTTACTTCTATAGGCCATTTTACATCCCTTTTTGATCCTTTGGAATTTAGCTCAGTGTTTACAGATTAACAGAGTTAACCTTATAGGTCATCTAGTCCAACCCCCTGCCCAAGCAGGAGACCCTACATCATTTCTGACAAATGGCAGTCCAATCTCTTCTTGAAATTCTCAAGTGATGAAGCTCCCATAACTTCTGAAGGCAAGCTGTTCCATTGGTTGATTGTTCTCACTGTCAGAAAGTTTCTCCTTATTTCTAGGTTAAATCTCTCCTTGTTCAGTTTCCATCCATTATTCCTTGTCTGGGCTACAGGTGCTTTAGAAAATAGCTTGATCCCTTCCTCTCTGTGGCAGCCCCTCAAATATTGGAACACTGGGTTATCAGGTCTCCCCTGGTCCTTCTCTTCACTAGATTAGTCAAGCCCAGTTCCTGTAACTGTTCTTCAGATGTTTTAGACTCCAGTCCCCTAATCATCCTGGTTGCTATTCTCTGCACTTTTTCTAGAGCTTCAACATCCTTTTTATAGTGTAGTGACCAAAACTGGATACAGTACTCTAGGTGTGGTCTTACTAAGGCTTTATAGAGTGGCATGGTATTTCACATGTTCTTGATTGTATCCCTCTGTTAATGCAATTTAGGATTGCATTAGCTTTTTTGGCTGCTGCTGTATACTACTGGCTCATATTTAGCTGGCTGTCCACTAAGACACCAAGACCCCTCTCACAGTTCCTCCTATTAAGGCTAGTTTCACCCAGTCTACATGTGTGCTTTTGGTTTTTCTTGCCTAAAGTGTAGGACTTTACTTTTCTCTACATTGAATTTCATTTTGTTAGAAAGGGCCCAGTGTTCAAGTCTGTCAAGATCTATCTGGATCTTGAGCCTATCTTCTTTGGTGTTAGCTATTCCTGCCAGTTTAGTATCACCTGCATATTTTGTAAGTTCTTTTCTATTCCCTCATCTACGTTGCTTATGAAGATATTGAAGAGTACTGGGCCTAAGATGGAACCTTGTGGCACCTCAGTGCTTCCTTCCTTCCATGTAGACTTAGATCCATTAAGGACTACTCATTGAGTACGGTTTGTCAGTCATTTACAAATCCATCTGGAGCTGATTCTATCTATCCCACTTTTTTCTAGCTTCCCAAGAAGTAATGGTCTACTTTGTCGAATGCCTTGCTGAAGTCTAAGTATATTATGTCCACAGTATTTCGCTGGTCTACTAATTTAGTTACTACGTTGAAAAATGAAATAAGATTAGTTTGGCATGATCTATTTTTAACAAACCTGTGCTAACTGCTAGTTATTATTTTACTTGTTTCTAGATGTTGACAGATCTGGTTTTTTATTATCTTTTCCAGTATCTTCCTGGGTATTGAGGTTAGGCTGATTGGTCTGTAGTTTCCCGGGTCTGTTTGTTTTCCTTTTCTGAAGATGGGAATCACATCAGCTCTTTTCCAGTTCTCTGGTAGTTCTCTGATACTCCAGGATTGTCCTAGTGTGCCATCTGTTTTTTGTAGATTAGTACATCTAGGAAAGATAGTTGTTGGTTTGTTTCCGTTTCCATGGTGAATTTGATTTGGGTGTGTGTGCTGTTTAGGTGTATTAGGAAATTGTTTAGGTTTTCTTTTCCATGGGGCCAAATAACAAATGTGTCATCAATGTATCTTAACCATAGTTTGGGTTTGTGGGTGGCATTTGCCAGGGCTCTGGATTCTAATTTTTCCATGAGCAGGTTTGCAATAATGGGTGACAATGTTGATCCCATAAGAGCTCCTTTAATTTGCTTGTATCTTTGTCCTTGTATGGCTGTCCAAACAACCAACTACCATTCCTAGATGTACTAATCTACAAAAAAACAGATGCCACACTAGGACACACCATATACCAGAAGAAAACACAACCAACCGCTACCTCAATGCCCAATCCCACCACCACACAGCATAGATAAACTCCGTGGTCAAAACACTAATTGCCAGAACCAAATGCCTGGTAGACAAGACACACATAAAGACTGAACTATGCACCCTGTCTAAAGTACAGCCAACAGCTTCCACAAAAGCAAAATCACAGGCCTGATCCACAAAAACACACTGAGACATAATAGAGACCCAGAGGATGAACAGACCTATGGAACAGCTGTCCTGCCCTACATCAGAGGTACTACAGACAAAATCAGTAAGATACTACACAGGCATCACATCAAGACTGCCTTCAAAACAGACAGCAAAATAGCAGCCATCCTAAGAAACCCCAAAGATAAAATTGACTTGGAAAACCAAGGCGTATATGAAGTCCCCTGCGCATCATGCCCTGCCACGTACATTGGACAGACCAATAGAAGAATAAGTACCTGCCTAGATGAACACAAAAATGCAGTAAAAAAACCTGGAACACACTTCCTCACTAATCCAACACATGAAAGCCACAGGTCATAGCATCAACTTCAATGGCACCAAAACCCTAGCCACTATAGAAAACCCCAGCTACAGAATTATCAGAGAAGCCATAGAGATTGAGAAAAGACCTGAACGCATGAATAGAAGAGATGATTCCACCAGACTGTCAATTATCTGGAAGCCTGCACTCACAAACAAAAAAATCTCCATACCACAAGCCAAGCAAACACCTGGGCACAAACAGACCACCCCCAGACCCAAACACACCGCAACCAGCCACCCAGATGAAACCTAGCTTCCTAATAAAAGATAGCCAGCCATTCACCCAAATCCAAACCGCACTACAAGCCCCCAATACATGAAACACAATGTTGCCAGCCAATCAAGACAAAAAAATGCTACAAAACAGACAGAACGTATTAAGAAACACCAATCAAGCAGAACACAGCAAACTCCAAGACCAATAAATACAGGCCAAGACTCCCAATCAATCAGAATGAAGAAAAAAACCATTCTGGCACAGCAGTAGGCTAGCCCCAAATTTAAAACTGAAACGGCTGTGAAAGTCTGACTCACAGATGAACACAATACAGAAGCCTGATAATGGCAGATGAGATTCTGCTGAAACATTGCTACAACTTTAAAAGCACAACTATAATGATGTGGGAAAATACCCAAACAAAGCTGAATACCATAAATGTAAGTACCCGCGAAAACTTAAGAAAACATAGATAGCTATAGATGATAGATAGATAGATATAGATATAGATATAGATATAGATATAGATAGTATTAGTAGCTTGAGTTCACCCTGTTTGTTCCCCAGACTTTGTGCATTTGTATATAGGCACTTGAGATCTTTATGTCATTTTTAAAAATATCAATTTATTTTTCAATAAAACTTTTACAAGAAGATAATGAAAATGAACAAACCTTCATTCCTTGCTGGCCAGGGGGACCTTTTTTTCCTTTCTCTCCAGGTTCCCCAGATTCTCCCTGTTTTCCAAAATAAGTTACATGTGAGAGTCAAATAGAGGTATGAATAATTCTAAAGTATTACATGATGCTACAATCATTTAGTGCCAATATTTTAAATATAAAATCAAGATCGGATATTTGGGGGGATATTTTTCCTACTGTTATATCACTTTATAAGTCCTAAGCTACTGGCTTTATTTTACTATTGACAAATATCCTTATAGTACACATAATCCACATTAACAGGTTGGTTTAGAGCTTAACCTGAATATACAGTATAATGTTTGGATGATTCCTAGCTATGCTGTTTTTACTATTTCAGTTGCTTTTGATGAAGTGTAGTTGCCTCTATCTTAATGAACAGAAATTCTGCATTTTTAGCAAAATAGTTAAACATCAACTGGTCCATTTTCCATTGGTGATGAGAAAAACAGTTCCTGATACTTTATGTCTGGAATTCAGCATTAACAATCCATTAAACCAAATAAACTCTAAATGCCAAAGTGTACGTTTCTTTATGTTTAGAACTTTTGGGGGGGAGAATAAATCTTGAAAAATTAAAAAACATTCAGTTTTCTATAATTTGATGTATTCAACACCATTTTAGGACTCCCGTTCCCAACATCTTTGGCTTCAGCACATTATATATGGTAGTTGGAATTTGAGAGTTGCAACACAAATTTTATGGTATATGATCAATCAGTCTCAGCACATCTGGAACAGTGGTGGGATTCAAATATTGTTGCCACCAGTTTGGTGGGCGTAGCTTGGTGGGCGCGCTTTGCATGTGTGCGCACGCATGCCAAATGCACGTGTGTGCCTCCTGCAAACCTGCTCAATCCCGGTCATTTCAGCAGCTGCCGCGTGGCACTATTCTGTGCCACACAAAGCAGCTGCGCTTCAAATTCAGCAGATAAAAGTGAGTATGGGAGCACAGGTGGGTGGGTGGGTCCAACAGCAGAGTGGTGGAGAGAACCGGTTCATTCTCTGCTGCTCATCACTCCTACCGGCTCCCCAGAACCGGGCCGAACCGGTCAAATACCACCACTGATCTGGAAACGATTAAGGAGAAAAAGGCTGATCTATATCATAGATATATGTTACGTCTCACCTGTGCCAATGAGGTGAGAAGTCCAAATTTCCAAATGAATATAAACAAGCGAACAAGTCCAGTAATGACAGGGTTAAATTCCTTGAGCCAGAAAAGTTCTTGGCAGTCTCACACAGCTGTCTGCCAATTCCGATAATAAAGCAAGAACATAAATCACAAGCTATCGCCACACACAGAATCTTTCGAAGCTTCTCTCACAAATTAACACGTTGTCCCGAACAAGTTCTCAGAGCGAACACACCCACTTTTATTTTCTGTGGGGCGTGTCAGTCCCTCATCTCAGTCTCTGATTCATCCTTTCTTTTTACGTTGCCTGCGCAGTTGCCTCGCATCAAGCCAGCATTCCTCAGCTTGCTCCTCAGTCAAAGGCTCTGATACGCTCTCCTGATTATCTGCCGACACCTGAGGCACAATCAGGGAGGAAGGTCTTGCCGAGGAGGAAAGTCCTGGGGAGGAAGGCAATTCCAAATCCTCTAACAAAGCAGGCTCAAACCTCAGAGCCAAATCCTCCCTTTCCTCACCATCCAAGTCTTTGTCCTCTAGCAAAGCAGGCTCAAACCTCAGAGCCAAATCCTCCCTTTCCTCACCATCCAAGTCTTTGTCCTCTAGCAAAGCAGGCTCAAACCTCAGAGCCAAATCCTCCTCTTCCTCATTGTCCAAGTCCTCGACCTCTGACAAAGCAGGCTCAAATCTCCGAGCCACAACAGATATACTTTACACTCTATATAGAAAAATTCAGTAACAGAGACTCTACCTTATTCCCTCTGGATCCAAGCTTTCCTTGATTCCCTTTAGGCCCTTCATCTCCAATATCTCCCTGTAAATAAAACAAATATTGTATCAAATGTTTAATGTTGATAGAAACTCTCTTCTATAAAGGGAGCAGAATATCCCGTGAACTTTCATATCCATTCTGTTCCCTTTTGAAATTGTGAATGGCAACTCCTAGGTCAGCCTTGGGATAGCTTTGTCTGGGTTGCCTTCTAATGTTTGCCCCCTCTCATTTTCAAGGGCATTTCTTTTCAGTTTTTTGTCCCTTTAAGGTACAAGTTTCTTCCTTCCTTCCTTCATTTTATATATCAAGCACAAGTTCCACCAAGTCAAATACTCTACAGAAAGCTGCAAAGCTATGTCTGCTTTTGAAATGTCTTGGGGCTTACACAAGAATAGAACCTCTCTATTATGCTCTGGCACTTGTTACATTTGTTTCAGGTTGGTGGCTCTCTGAAGGCTATTTGAGGGTTGTGGCAGCTGTGGGACGTGCAAGACTGCCTTTGGAGCTGGTAGCAAGTCCAGCAATTGATTGGCAAACCTCTGGCTGATTGGAAAAAGCCCCAGATTGCTAAAACCACAGCTGTAGAGGGGTTTTTCCAGAACAAAAAACAAAAGCAATTTGCAAGTGTGTGCCTTGTTGCTGACCTGGACTTGGAATAACTGAGTTACAAGGAATTTGGGATCAGTATGGAGGCTGGCAGGGCTGACCATGAGGGATCCTCCTCCCAGCAGAAAGTGCTTTTATCACTGTTGCCTTGGGCTAAAACTAGGAAGAGAGTTTAGCTGGATTCAGGTCAGCTGGGTCAGAGATTGCAGCCAAGCTTAAGGCTAGAGCTCTTGCTTCTAAAAAGCATACTAGGGCTGAAGAGAAGCAAGCTAAGTGAAGGCAAAAATGCTTAGATAAAGAATTTTAGAAAGCTAGGAAGAACCTTGAACATCAGAAGCCGTCAACACAGGCCAAAGTGGCTGCTGGTGCGTTTTCCCACCATATTTCTGAGGACAGGCCTCAGCCAGAGGAGACTGTGGGGCCCAGTAACCTACGTGTATAAGCCTGGTCTCCAGGGGGCTCTAGCAAGCAATATATTCAGTCTTCATATTTCCCACCTTCTAAAAGTGCTATGGCAGGTATGGTGATAACTACTGTGGAAGGTGAGCAACTTGCTGTAAGGCCTGTCCTGGAGGCTACCTTCAGTGGCAGGGTTCTGCCCAGGAGAGCCTCAAATTCTAGAAATGCCATCTTACTTCAGAGCTTGGATCTCACAGGCCATTAGGCAGGACATAGCAGCAGAGTTTCAGCAGTGGCAGTAGTTGCCCACGTCAATGGCTGAGCAGAGGCTTTACACCAGTAAGGGGCAACTCTACAGGCCTCATTCTCCTCAACCTTTGTTCAGAAGCCAGTCCTCCATCTTGGAGGAAGAGCTATGGGATGATAAGGATTTGTCTGAGAATGAAGATGGATCATCTAAGCACCCTGGCCACCAAAGGGTTATTCCATCTGTTATAGATCAAGAAATGAGAGGCTAGACCAGAGCATTAACAAGGAATGGCTTTATTCAACAGAATAAAGGGCTGTCGCGTCTGCAGGCTAACAAGCAGACATGCTCAG